ATTTGGAACCAGAGAGATGGCTTACCAGGTAAAAAGTATTTTCCTGCTCACTATACAGATCTGACAGCTGGAGCTCAATCTCTGGATCCCAGGTGGAAAACATGAGCCAACTTCTTAAATGTAGTCCTCTGACTTCTACATGCCTGCCATGATACACACACACACACACACACACACACACACACACACACACACGCCAACACTCACATATATCACATATACACACAATAATAACAACAGAATTTATTGAAGTATTTAAAGTTTTGACTTAAAATATGGCACTGCAGCTTTGTTCTGTCTCACATGGTGAAGGCAGCATACACTAAACTGTAAATGTTAGAACTCTAAGGGAAAGTTTTCCTGGCAGTCGGAAGCCAAGGACTATCTCCAGCTCAGCAGGGAAAGGTATCCCAACAGAAGTGTTAGCAACTCTGTTTCAGTGGGGGATGATTTCTCCAGAAAAGATTTCCCTAATGCAAGGGTAGCAGCTCTCCTCCAGCAGGGGATGGTATCCCCAGAGAAATGTTACAGTTCTGCCCTGCTCAGGCCAAAGTTGTTACTGTAAGCTGTACAGCTTGGATGGAAAGATATCCTGGCATCCAGGAATCAAGGAATACCACTAAGTCACATCGCACAACAGACCTCACACAAGAGATTTATCGGGAGGGGGAAAACAGGAGGTGGCTTCCTCTTCTTAGACAAGAAGCAACAAACTGAACAGGATACAGGGCTTAGAGAGTCTCTTGGAAAGGGGGTGGAATTTTTCAGGGTGGAGCTTTCCACAGTGGAGATTGGTGGCATTTCATGTCCAGAGCCTGGGCTTTTTACTCTGTAGTGTCGAGGGCAGTGTCCAGCAGTTATTCTGTGGGTGGAACCTGGCAGTTGGAGGTCCTCAGGGGAGGGGTCTGGCCACTTGTGTGGCTCAAGGGTCTAACAGTTACAGCTCTGCTTTGCTAAAGGGTTTTCTCACAGAGATGTAGCTCTGCTCTGGTGAAAGTAAGTCATTAAAACAAACGTCACTTAAGAGATTTATTAGGAGGGAGGAATCCAGGAAAGTGGCTACCTCTGCCAGGGTGAAAAATGGCAGCCCCGAACTGGTACCAGACTTTTATAGGGTTTCTTAGGGGTGGAGCTGTCCAAGGTGGAGTTTTTCAGGGTGGGAATTGGTAGGATCTCAGTTCCTGAGTTTGAGACAAGCTCAGAGTGTAGGGTAAAAGGGCCAGCCAAAGAAACACACCCTGGCCTTGAAACCAGAGCCAATGAAAGAAACACACTTTGGTCCTGAAACCAGAGCCACATCTGCCCCTGACCTGCTGAGCATGAAAACCAATTCCTGGGCATAAAATCTAGCCAGTCAAGCTTGTCCAAGCTTAAGGGGATTGAAATCTGACCAATTCCCATCCTGAAAAATCCCCACCCTGGAAAAACTCCACTCCTAAGAAGCCCTATATAAACCCTGTATCTGTTCTGGTGGCTGCTGCCTTTTTCCACCCTGGCAGAGGCAGCCACTCTGCCAATAAACCTCTTGAATGAGGTTTGGGTGAGACTTTCCTTTGCTGGGGTGGAACAGAGCAGAGAAGTAACCTCTTTCACTGGAGCAGAACTGAAGCACTCTGGGGAAACCTTCCCCAAGCAGCACAGAGTTGCTATACTGTTCGGGGGTGAGCAGAGTTGTAACAGCTTCACTAGGGTAACCCTCCCTTGCAGAACAGAGTTGTTACATTGAGGAAACCTTTCCCTGGAGCAGGGCTATAATTTACTGTTCTTATGGTGACTTTTGTGGTACTCTTTGGATCCCTTTTTATCCGAGCTGTAATGCTTAAACGGACAGTGCATGGATCTAGTGTTCTGGGATTGGTTAGTTTTTGTGCTCAGGAATTGGTTGGATTTCAGTTCCTGAGTTAGGGCCAGGGTGTTCTTTCAGTGGTACTTTTCATCCCAGAATAAGTAGCTTCTCTCTCACATGGGAAGGCATTGTGCCCTGTAAAAAGCTTTCTGGCAGTGTGCACTGATCAGCTTCTCTCACACATGGGCAAGGGCAGCGTGCTGTGGCCAGGTCTGCTCTCTCTCTCACACGCTGACACAGTGCTTCCTTCCATGTCCACCACTTAGACACGTTTCAAATGTGAAACTCAGTTCTCTTTTCCCTTCTGCATCTACTCTCCCTACTGCATCTTCTCCTACATGTTAATGAAATATTTTAGTTATTTTCTTTCTAAATAGGCTCTCACTTTGTAGTTCTGTCTTACCTGGAACTCAGTGTGTAAACCAGGCTGGCCTTGATCTTTTTCTTTTATAGGATAATGATGCCTAAAATGTTGACTTTACCAACAATTAGAACATACGTGTTTGTTTACTATACTATTATGTCCATACACCTAAAAACTACTTCTTGAAATCCTTGAATTTCTTAACAACCTTTAGATTTTAGAATCACTAGATAATTTTTGTGATGAAATTTACCAAAGCAGGGCTTGTTTAGGAGAAAATCAGCTTTTTGTTGCTTAAAAAGGTACATGGGAGGGTAATGTTATTATCAGTCATTTTGGTCAAGCCTTTGTTTCTTATGGAAAGACTGTGAGAAGACAGGGAAACAGAGGCCCTTTCTGTTCTTAGTAGGAATAGGCATGATATGTTTCATGAAATGAGTCAGGATTTTATGCCTGACTTTGGAAGCTTTTTCCCGTTCAGAAATTAGTTTACTAATTCAGAATGATTGTGAGGAAAGTCATTGTCACTGATTCCAGTAGTTAACTTTTGAGATTACAAAATGTCATCTTGTATAAAGAGAAAATCCACTTCCTCTTTAAGGGTTGGCCCCTCCCTTGATATTCTCCTAACACTCTAGTTCTCTTTGAGCTCTTACACCCACCCATGTACACTCCCACTCAATCCTGACTGGAAGCCGAGCCTTGCAGTGTAGCTCAGACCATCCGCAGATTACATATGTGTGCCTGGCTAAATAAAGTAAGGTCATTCATAAAAATGGCATTTCCCCCAAAGAAGTGAAAATTGGTTGAGAAAAGAGTGGGGAAGCCTTGCAGTGCATTTTCATTCACAGAGTAAAGCTTGATGGAAATTACATATGGGTAAGGCAGGTAGAGGGGACACAGACTAGTCTGTATTGATTTTTCTTTTCTCTTTTTTCTTTCTGGATAAATTTCCTTAATTCTTTTATTCTACTGAACAAAATTCTTTTATTTATTTTTGATGATCCAATTGCAGTTAACAGAAAGTCACTTTTTTCTTTCTGATTCCTCCTGTATGCCACCCTGGTAACATCCTACTTTTGTATTGGAGTTACTTTAAGAGTTACTTTTTGGTTTGGTTCTGTATTTTCTGTTGATCCAAAGTTTTATTTACTGTTGAATTTCATGGAAAAGGTGGGGCATTTTCATCAAGGACTCTCAATAGGAAACTCTCTCGTGCCAGCCCAAGCCTGGCTACTGTCTGGGTGGAATAACAGAGTTTATAGGCCTGACTAAACCACCAACACTTGAACCTTTAAGAGTTCAGATTTTCAAAAACTATTACCTATTATATATGATAAAACAGCCGTTTATTCACTAGAGAGGTGGTTCAGAGGTTGAGCACTTCCTGTTCTTCTAGTCCCCAGCACACAACCATTTTAGCTCCAGCTTCATGGGATTCAGTGCCCCTTCTGACCTCCAAGGGCACTGCACACATGGAGTATGAATACACACACACATACACACACATAAACAGGCAAAACACTCAAACACTTTAAGTTTTAACTGGAACTTAATGAATTGGTTATTCCTCCCCTCCCCCAAGGTAAATCAGACTTTTGTCAAGATCGAGACCCCTTAAGGGTCTCAGTAAGCAGAGAACAAAGTTTCCTGGGGAGTCCACTGGCATGTGACCCATTTGGTTGTCACCAACCACCTGCCCAGAACAGCAGAAGCCATGACTGTGATGAAGCAGGTGAGTTGAAGTGTTACATTATACACAGGACATGTGGATAAAAAGTGGTTGCTGGGGTCTGTGTAGTAGTGGTAAGTGGCTTTGGTGACTGTTGATAGTCAGATCACTGTGGTACACCCATGCTCTCTTGATTTATGTAGTCACTAACAGTCACGAGGATGAGGCTGGGATGTATGGATACCAGACTGTTCAGGAACTCATTCTTCTGCCTCTGTCTCCCAGGTGACAGAAAATCTTTATTGTAAAGTCTGTCAATTCCACCACCCAGGGGCAACCAAAGCTAATTTTCTTGCTTTTGAATTTATGGATACATGTAGACATGAAGCTATAGATAAGAAGCTAAAATATTGCTTGCTGGCCTAAAAAAAGACCCAATACCATTTTACTAGTTGTAACATTCTTTTCAGTAGTTATTTTTGTGGGATTTCTTTTTATTTTAGCTTCATTTAAACACAAATAGTTAATATGTGAATTGTAGCTTCTGGAGGGTTTCTGAGAGGGAATGACTCCAACATCTGCCCTTTGTGTTACAGTGAAACAACAGTATAGGACATTGTCATTTTTGATATTCTGATATACTTTTCCTTTGACTCTTCCAACTCTAATTAATATTTAAATATTTTACCTCTAGACTAGCAGTGACTAATTTTTTTATTAAAGTAATGAATATTACCCTAATGAGTATTATAGATGATAAATAAATTGGTTTTTTTTCTGTGGCTAGAGATAAGGCAACAATTTAAGAAATAAAAATAAGGTGTAGAAATGTAGGGAATGATACCCTCTGGTGCTAAAATTTTACTTTGTCCTAATTTCCCCTACCCGTTCTGAACCCTCCAATCCATCTTTCAGTTAAAGTCAAGGAATCTGATGTTGAGAATCATGCAGTATTGAGTCATGCTGTCTCAGAAGAAGCAGCAAGTACATACCTGGGTCCAGCTGGGAAGCCAGATGACAAGGTCAGTGATGCTACTTTGTGTACTATATTGAGCTGTTTGGTTCCGTGTTTCTGTTTAGTTTGTTAGAAACTTTGTTCTCTGAGATCTACTAAGGTGGATCAGTGATGAAAATAGCCAAATCTGAGCATCAGAAGACCTTTTGGTCTGCTTGGTGCGTGATCTTTACAGTTCTGAGAAGCAAAACTACAAAATATCTTAAATAGTTAAGGAGGTCTGTGTGTGATGCGAGAAGGGGTGCATGCGTGTGCAGCTTAAAGCAGTTAGGGTCTGTGTGCGCTGAGAGGTGTGTAGGGGCGTGTGTGTGTGTGTGTGTGTGTGTGTGTGTGTGTGTGATCATTTCTGAGCAATGATGAAAAGGCTTTAATACTGAACCTTGTCACTATGAAGGTTTCTACACTTGACCTGAGCTCAGAATTGACAACTAGCACTGTTGATTTGTGGTTTTTCTAGTTGTCCTCCTGATACATTATGATCCAATATTGTCTTTGAAATTTTAGGCTGAAACACAAGAGATGTCTCAGGAGCTGTTATCTTCAGTAACTGTTTCTACTGGAAGCTTTTTAAGTTATGAAGTCACAGATTTGAGCCTTACAGATCCAGGTACTATCAAACTTTGTGAATGCAGTGAAGAAGCAGCACTGGCTGCACGCCAGTGTGGTGATGGAGGAAGCGCTGCTTCTCCATGCTGTGTCCTGGTGGTGTGTTTGGGGGAAAGCTGTCTCAGGCCTACAAGGAAAAACTCACTGTTGAATAGAATATAAACGACAGTCACTCGTACACTCCGGCACTCACAGATTTCTTGGTTGCATCAGTCTCAGTAATATATACTGCTATGACATGTTTGTGAGGAAGTAGCCAGCCATTAAATTAATGTGTTACAAATGTTAATTAAATGTTTTGATTAAACTCAAATTTTAGAGTCATTTTCGGAACAGACGGAGCTTCAAGAACAAGACTCTACCACTAAACAAGAAGAGACTTCTCCTTTTAGTTGTGCAGCTCCTTCACCGCCAGTCAGTTATCAGCAGCCGCACCCCTTGGGTGCTAATGAATCTCTGTTGCCCAAGGAGGAAGAAAAGGCATCTGATCACACACATGTTCAACAGATCATAGACAAGGATTTACATGAAGCAAATTTGATACCTGAAAAAAGAGACTTTCAGGGTAAAATTTAAAAGATATTTTTCTAGCTTTCACCTTTCATCGTCTTTAGTTTTAAGTATTGTTTGAGGTTCGTATTTTTATCACCTGTACATTTATGCCATAGATATTGAGGGCATTTATGAGACAAGGCATCTGAGAACACTCTTAACTGGAGAGTAGTAGGGGCCAGCCAGATGGCTTGACATTAAAGGTTCTTGCTGTCAACCCATGACCCACTTTACGTTCGGTCCCCAGAATCCCCATGGTTGAGAGATCTGACTTCTAAAAGTTATCGCTGTCCTATACACAGCATTGTGGCAGGTGCCACAGGTACACATACATGTACATCAAACACATAAATAAATGAAGATAATTTTTAAACAACAAAAGTCTGAAGAGACGATTAATGAAGACATCTCCCTACAACTAAGGCAGGGATTTGAGTGAGATTCCTGCCATGAAACCCTTTAAGAATTTGAAATTAAGAGATTTGCACATAAGATGCACCCCACTAACAAGACAGTACAGCGAACATTTCCCATTTTACATTATTAATCATGAAGTGAGCTGAGTAAGAACTCAAAGCTTATAGTTAAGTTTTCCCAGGTAGTCTTATGTGGCTTGCATTCCTAATTAACCACAGAAACCTTTGAAGCTGGTAAAGTGGAGATTTGAATTTTAGTTTCTAGACTCACTGGATTCCATTTACACCTGGTAACAATCATGACTGAGCATGGAAAACAAATGGAAGTAATCCTGCTGTATCAGAAATGTCTGAACCCTTTCCCAGGTCTCATTCCACGGTTAACCATTTAACCTTTTTCTTTCCCTCCCTCCAAGTTTCAGGTGTGGACCTTGACTTTCCAGAACTGGAACATGTATTTCCACACTTGCATCATCAACTCTTTAAACCCTTGGAGCCATATCTAGATTTTGACTTATCATCGTCCTCTGGGATTTCTCAAGACAACAGACACTTTCATGAGGTAAATTAAAGTTTACATAAGTGATTTGTTTCATTCTGTTCTCTTTTTTGTAGTCCAAGATGAAACTTTATAAGTTGCCAAGACAGGCTGACCCATGTGGTGGGGCTATAGGTGCACACCACCACGCCCAGCCTGTCTTTCAGGGTTGGGAAGTTAAGACTGAATAGACCAAAGTCCTTGCACTCATTCTTCAACACCAAGGAGGGAGGCAATATTCAATAGTGACATCGATAAGTATGCTGTCAGAGTTGACTAAGACCATTTCTATTTGACAACACAAATTATAAGGATTGATTTATTAGTACGGTTTTTCTAAAGGCAGAGACAACAGCTGTTTTTGTGGATTTTGTAGCTCCATGAGGTGCTGTTCCCCTTAAGTAGGTTTACAGAAATCAGAGGAAGTGGTTAATTATCTCACAGCAATTAATCATTCCAAGCAGGGCATGGATTCGTGAAGTTTGATTTGACTAGTAATACAGAGTCAGTATTTCAGCCTTTGTTTTCAGCAGAGCTCCGAATCTTCATCTAAGATTAAGGAGTCCTCCAGAAGCACAGCATGTTTCACAGCACTGAGGGGCAACTTGCATTCTCTTAATTCAGAACAGCCCGTTAACCTAGCTCATGCTGCAATACGGAGTTTTGCTGCTGAAGGTACGTCAAAATCCAAGACATTCCTCTTTTTGGGGATCCGTTTAAGTATGTTATTCAAAACCCTGGTGATTTATTCTGCTCATATATCAGCTTTCCCATCTAAAACAGGTCATAAAACCCTGTTTGCATTCCACTTAAAATGTGGCCTTCTCTTTTAACTGTAGGACCTGAACAATCTTTCAAGCAGCTTCTACCAGAATTCTCTTCACCGGAAAGCCAACATGCTGATCTACCAAGTATTTACAGCATCGAAGCAAGAGATGCCTCCCAAGGCATGGAAAACCATGACTATTCTGAAGAGACAGAAATACTACAAAAGAAAAAAAGTGTTCATTTTCAGTCCTCAGCAGAGAACCTTAGTCCAGCCTGCAGTTCTGATGGTGCCACTGTATTTAATCAGCTACACCTGCTGCAGGGCTCTCCAAGTTCTTCTACCCCTTTGTTGGGCTTTGAGGAACTGTCAAGAAAAATGGTTGCAGTGCCACAAAGCCAAAGGCTCACTCAAGATAAGAAAGAAGCTATAAATCCACATGTAGAAAACTCAGAAGGGTCTCATTCATTGAGTGTTCAAAATGAAATGTCTATTCAGAACAGAGTTAAAACTGAAACCACAAACCCATCTCGACTATCACAAGCAGAGCACATCATGAATTCATTTCCGAGCTCTATTCCTGTCTGGGTAAGCGTGTTTTGTAAAATCATCTTCCTGAGAAATCTTTCCAGCAGAATTGAAAACTCCAACACCCATACAAGTTTGGTTCAGTTTGTTAGGTTACTTTTCCATCTTTATAGTCAACTGTGGTCTTACTTTATGCTAGGAAGGCAGAGATGGGCAGGTGATGGCCAGCCAAAAGATTTAAAAAAGAAAGAAAAAAGCTGGCCTGGAGCCACAACACACCTTTATTCTCTTGTGGGTCTGAATTCAAATGCAGACAGACGAGGGACAGCCAGGAGATCCCAGTTTTTCCGCACTGCTCCTCCCATGTCCTGAGTTCTTTTACAAAGACTATCTAACCAGGTGGCACAAACCCTTAATCTCAGCACTTGGGAGGTAGGTAGATTACAGAGCAAGTTCCCGGACAGATAGGGCTTTTACAGACAGGCACCATATGTTCCTCTTTGAATTGTTAAACAGGAAACAGAATCTGGCTATGGCATAATGGAAGAACCAGATCTCACTCTAGTAAGCACCAGCGACATCAGCATTGCTGAAACAGATCTTGCTAACTTAACCCTTGAAGAGAGAGACAGTGAAGCACAGAGCTGTTCCCAGGTAAATGTCCTTAGCCCTGTGGTAGACTGGCATCTATAACTGAAAACTGAAAGTCTTGTCATTATAGAACCCCTCAGTCAAGTACAGCAGGTTTTGTACCTCAAAGAAACAGGTGAAGTTAGACAAGGTACCACTGGGCAAAGTTGCTAACTTCACAAAGGAAAATGGGGGCCCAAGATTTTGTTTAATGCTAGCAAACTGTGGAAAACACAGCAAAACAAAGTTACTTTCTCAAAATCAGGCAGATGCAACTTCAACAGGAGCTATATTAGAGTCTTGTATGGATCAACCCCAAGTGGCACCTTCAGGTAAGTCAGCCCTTTTTCCTTCTTTTTGAGAAGCTCTCTGGAGCTGTGGTTGGAGTCTGACCAGGAACTAGCACTTGTAGTCCAGGTTGGCCTGCCTCTGTTTCAAAGCACCCCACTGCCTATCCTAATGTTTTAAGTGAAATGAGGATGTCTGTAAAGACCTTTTTAAAAAATTTGCAGTCACACCAATGAAAAGAAAGAAGACATTTATGGATCGATCCTACCAGAGACAGAGAGAGACGCGGAATAAAGCACAACTCACAACAGGTATGCTATCTTATTTTTTAAAAAAGAAGATAAAGAACCCAAAGAAATCCTTTAACCTATCCCTTGATATTAGGTTTGTCCCTGAGCCGCGGGAAGGGTATTAATAAAGTCAGAGCACCTCTCCCTGAAGAGAGAAGGACCACACAAGCCCTCATACACCAGAGGGCACTAAGGTATGGGCATTGTTATTTACTTGTAGTATTGACTCATTAATACCCGTTTAATCCCATGTACATTTCTTACAGATTATACAGGCAGTTAGCTGAGGTAAAACAGCAAAAAGAAGAAAAAACAAAGCAAGAAGTCTGTGCCCAAAATAGAGCAAGGGCAAAAGAATTTCATAAGGTGAGCAGGAGCCAGTTTTTCCCTCTAAAAAGCAAACAATTCAAAAACTAAATTAATTTTCATTCCTTCTGCAGAAAACACTAGAGAAACTTCGAGCCAAAAATACATGCTGACTTCCTATAAACTGTGTAAAGGGTTTTCTTTTAGTTTAATGTATAAAACTAGACAAAATTATTTATTGTAAATAAATTTTTATTTAAGGGATTTGATTCCATCTTGAGTCGCATGGTTTCCAGATTTCTGAAGGGAGTTAAAAAGAATTAAGTTAAGCTCTCACACTTCTGACTTGGGGAATGCATGTTATCTTCTCAGAAAAACATAACACTATCAAGTGCCTGCTTTCTTCTGTGAAGAACATCAATCTTTGGTCACAGCGTAAAGAGCTTTTGGTTTCACAGCCCAACAAGCCCTCTTTGAAATGACCTTCAGTGTGTTTCTTGTATACGCACCTTTCATTCCCCTTTCACTCTGATTGTGCTCTTTAGCCCTGCATAACAAAAACAAGGTAGGGGTCAGCACCTGAGCATTCTAAGATAATCATAGATATTTACTCATCAGGAATAAAATGTCCCCAACAGGTTAACTGCTAGCCAAGTAGCACATAGAAAACCTATTGGGAATTTTTTTTTATGGTCATGTCCACAGCAAATGAGAAACTGCATTCTCAAAGCCTTGGTAATGACCATTACAATAAGAACATTAAATGACTATTACAACTACTTGCCTTTTGTTCTCTTTTCTCCTTGAATTACAGAGGCAGAACAGTCATGACTAATTCAAAGTTTTTAACCTGTGGGAGTTTTTAACCTGTGGGAAAAAAATGTATAATGAAGATTAACATTACTCATTAATGTATCCTAAAAGCCACTGCCCAAAATTATCAGTGTTTAAAGTTCTCATGTTAAATTGTTCCATGTAATAAATATTGTCTGAAAACATGGCCCTTGGGAGAAGGCAGGACTGTTCATAGCCAGATGGGCTATGAAGCCGGATTGTCTTGCTCGTATATGTAAGCCACATTCCAGCACTGCTCAGTGGATTCAAAGAGCCTTTGTGTTTATATTTGCATATATGGAATCTGGGGAGACCCACCAAAAGACGATGTTCAGAAAGGCTATTTCACTCAGCCCATTCAGAGCAGTTGAACATTGTCTATCATCACAACATCATCTCTTACTGGTAGTGTCTTTCCACCAGAGCAGCAAATTTCAGTCTATCATCTCAAGTTAACATCTTACCAAAACAATTCTGGTGCCTTCTTCAAACCAGTTTTTAGGAACCTAAAAGATTGAGCACAGAAATAAAAGAAATATTATCTATGCAGTATTCTCAGTATTCTGCCTACAGGCCAGAAGAGGGCACCACCAGCTCTCATGTGGTTGCTGGGAACTGAACTCAGGACAGGCAGTGCTCTCTTCAGCCGCTCTGACATGTCTGCAAACCCAAAATTATAGTGGGCAAATGTAACAGGCCTCATTGTCACCACTGTAATGCATCTACTGTGATGGAAGCATGACCTGTGTCTCAATGTAGCCACATTTACCAGTTCTGGACACTGACTGACGACAGCATCCATCTTAAGTAGATAGAATGAGGCTCAGTCTCATGTATTGTGCATCAAATAAAACCATCTAGAAGCAAACAGAAATGGGGCCTTACCATTTTAAGCCAGGCCTCACTTGTTTTGACACCTAAGAATAAAAAGAGTTAGTAGTTCATCAAGCAGATGATAATGCTTGCCACCAAGCTTAGACCAATTACTCCCTAGAAACCACATTGCAATCAAACTTGCCCTGACCTCCACAGGGCACCCATATCCAGTATAAAATAACTGTATCATTAGAAATACCAGGTTTATCTTGCACAAAGCCAAGAAACCAACGATGCCAGATAGTGAATTTCTATTGCACTGTCTTTTGAACACACCAGCAGGAAAGGACTGCTGAGTGCAGATACCATGCAGTGCCAATTCCTAAACCCTCAGCCTGGTGCTCCTAATGAAGAAACTTATGATAAGAAATTTATCATTTTCTCCTCTAAGTAACACAAGCATTCCACATGTTAAGAAGGAGGCTGTATGGGTTTTCAGCTCTTCAGTTTATGCAACATTCCATTCTCACTGAAAATTGCCCAAATCATTAACTGGCTAAATGTACCTTCTCTTTGGCTGCACACACTGCTGGTTGATTGTTTCTCAATGAAGCCAGAGTTCCCAGATTCGGCTATCATGGCTACAATGGTTCTGAACTGGCCAGATGGCTCTTTACTGAGCCACCTACTCAGCAAGTTTCCCTGTTCCCCAGGCTGGTCTCCAACTTGATCCTTGCTCCCAACTCCTAGGACTACAGGAGTGGGATATAGGAGTGTATCATTAAAGAACTCAGACATCATTTCTAGACACTTAGCATGACATGAAAATGTTTTTTTCTAGTCTATACATAAAGCAATTGCTTTTGCTTAGAACACACTAAAAACCAATAGGAATTCAGTTTCACTTACCAGTGTGTTTGAAGAGTTCTGCTCACTCATTCCTAGAATAGTACGTAAGATTTTAAGATTGGATTTCCAGTTATGAGAACTAAGTTCACTGTCCAGGCTTAATAGCTGTATGTCAGTTCTATCAGAATTAAGTTTTAGTTCATGTCTGTATCATTCAGCAGCTGAACAGTTTTATTCATCATTTGAACTGTACTATACTTTCCCGAGATACAGTGCCACCAGACTTACCTAACAACATACTAATCATTATGAAGGCACGCCAGGGCCTGAAGTTTAAAAGAAAAGGTGATATATTATTGTTTCAAACTTTTTAGATGTCTTGTAGTTCCTTTCACAGACCTAACCATGAGCAGCCCTGTGAGTCAAGCAACCACAAGTTACTATATGAGGCGTTTCCAACGATGTGTGGCTACTGGGGAAGCCCCATCGGGATAGACCTCAAAAAGCAATCATCGTGAAGCTTACATATGAACATCTACAAATAGGAGCTTAAGGAAATCACAAAAAGTCAACACAGAACAGGGTTAGGCTCTTAGAAAGCTGTGTTCTCAAATATTAATCAGTTTCACCACATGGTAAGAATTCTTCACCAAACTGTTCTAATCACCAGTACACATACACTATTACTTTATTTACTTATTTATTTTGGTTTCTTTTCAGGGCAGGGTTTTTCTGTCCAGCAATGGCTGTCCAGGAAACTAGCTCTTATAGACCAGGCTAGCCTTGAACTCATAGAAATTCGCCTGCCTGTCTCCAGAATGCTGGGTTTAAAGGTTTGTGCTACCACTGCCTGGCATATACTAAATGTATTTGAGAATAATGTTACAAATTTCTGCAGTAAGTATATAACTTCGGTATATACTGAAGGCCTTATAGCCTTCAGAGTTTATTCTTGCATTATCCTGCTAAACTTCTCATTCCATACTGTTTCTAAATATGCATGCTTGATCATCCTCCAGGATTTACAGAAGGCTGTAGCACTCCCCTTTCACACAACTCTGAAGATACAAATTGACACTTACTACATTGAAACAAACATCCCTTCATGGGTATCTTCAATTCTGACTTCATAAAGCCTTTAAAAAAGAAACATTCATCATATTAGATACCTATGCCTCAAAGTCCAGGATAGTGAAGAATCACCTCATCAAAACCATAATCCCTTGATGCTGAATTATATTCCTTCTTGTTTGTATCAAAACTCATATTGAGAAATAAGTTCTGGGTTGCAAAAGAGGATTTATTTTTGCACCTGTCTAACCTGCTTTTGTCCACCAGCTGAACAAAAACATATACAAGTGCTGCCCAAGGCCATAAAAATCGTACACAAAACATCCTAGGGGAAGACACTCTTTTGACTAAAGAATTCCTAGTCAGAAGCTAGCACACGGGTTGAAGCATCCTGGAGCTGTGTTTGGAAGGAGTGTATGAAAAGACTGTTCACAGAAAAGAACTCTTAGAGGTTGTGATTTAGCTTACATCCCTCACAATATGGCTGGTTAATAACCATCTTGTAAACTGCAAGAGTCCTGATACTTTCTGGCCCTGGGTACTAGGATGTATACACATTCGTGCAAGCTAAACATTCACAAAGATATGATTTTGTTATAAAAATTTTGTTTGAACCAGTCACTGGGCTGAAATCAGAAAGATGTGTAGGATTTCCTATTAGCATTTTTCTTCCAGGATCAATATCACAATCGTTTTTAATGTTACAGTATCCAAAGCTCTAAAAAGATATGAAGTATTCACTTTCCCAGTCCTCTGTGGCTTCTTTCCCAGGCTGGTTCAGGTCCTTTCTTCATGTATTTGGCAAATAAAACACCTGTAGTCATGTCTTTCTATTAAGTCACTGTTTGAGTGCTCTTTACCTTCTCGGACAAGTCAGATGTACATCTCATTCCCAGGCCATTCCGCGTGCTCTCTTGTGCAGTATCTTTACCCTTAGTTATTTTTAGATAATGTAGATTCTTTCTTAGTCTTCTTTTGTTCTAAATTTCTCTTTGGAAATTCTGAGCTTATTATGAAGCAACTGTTTTGCTGCATTTAATAGAAAAATCACGGTTAGCAACTAAGCTCACCACTGACAGGTGGATAAGGGCTACATCTATTTATTCAAAGTCCAAATTAACTTCTACACTATTTTCTCATTTGTCATCCTACACATCTATTCAAATGTTAATTACAAAGCATTTTAATAAGTGCAGAAAAAAGAACACTGGCTTCTCTTCCTCACAGAGGACTAACATTCAATTCCAAGCACCAACTTCAGTTCCAAGGGGCCTATGAACTCTTCTTGCCCTCCCCAGATTATCAGACATGCACATGTTTGCAGGCAACACTAATACATAATTTATTAAGCAAAAAAATCTTAAGAATGGAGTCATGCCTATAGCTGAGGAAGAAAGTGCTAGGATGTTAATCCACTGGTCTGTGGTCTCAGGGTTCAATGATATTATATGACAAAATTAAGAAATGATACTGACTTCCATCCTCCACACTTACATGGAAGAACATACCCTGTGTATGAGTACCTTGTCATAATGTAAATGCATAGCCCTGAGCTTTGAATCCCAACATCGGGGATATGCATTAAGAGCAGCAAAGAAAAAAGCTCAATATCAAATATCCTTGATTATTTCCATTCTTATGTCTCCTACACTAAGTTTAAACAAAATTTTTATAGAAACAGCTGTATACAACTTCTACATTCCATAAATAAAAATCAGCCACTTACAACCAATTTGATATCACATTCAGACTCAGGATTTGTTGCCTCATCTTCTGTTCTGTAACATCAAAAACATGTATCACAAATCTTACCTTATATTTTGATGCTATGAAGACCTATACTCTAATACATAATATCCTGTCTATAATTCTCCAAACTGATACCCTGTGCATCTACTTAATATTAACATAAACAATCCTAAATAAATGTGGTGGAAATTATGGTTACTGCTTCAGCATTTAATTGGTGGATGAGTAGTTTAGCAAGGTCACCTGTCTTTACTACTAGCACTTGGAAAAGAGGTAATGAGTTCAAGCCCAGCCTAAGCTATATAGCTAAATGTGGAATTGCACATTAAGTTACCTTAAAAAATAAAAACACAAATTATTCTAGGAACAAATTATTCTTCAAGGTCCAACTTACAATGGCTCATCAATGGGAGAAAGAGGACCATCATCATCCATGTACTTGTGTCTCCGGCTGTCAAAGTCTTCCTTTTCTAAATCTTCCCCAGCATGCATTTGTTCCAAACATTCCTTAAGATGGTGCTCATACTTGAGTTTTTCAATGTGATGAAAAAATCCTCTTGCAACAGCTTGCTTCAAGTTAGAAAACACAATTCCTTAAATCAAATATAATAAAGACTGAAATTCTACAAGGGGCTGGGAGATGGCTCACTGTGCATCAAGTGGAAACAGAAACCATGCAAATGCTGAGCATACAAGGTAGTTCTACTACAATTCCTGACTTAGAAGGTGTAGACAGTTCCCCAAGAACAAGCTCAATATAAAGATAACCTAAATTTGCAAGCTACGCTAAGGGTGTACATGCATGTACATGAAGAGAATGACATTAATCCTTGTTTACAAATTCCTACAGAATTTAATACTCAAATATTTGAAAAACTTATCTGGGTACTTAAATTTGTCTGCTTTCATGTATATGGGTGTTTTGACCGCCGGTATATCAACACACTACATGCATGACTGGTGCCCTCAGAGAACAGAAGGGAGCATCATTGGGGTTAGAGATGGCTGTGAGTGACCATGTCCTTAAATGTTCTTCAGCTATGTAACTCTCTCCATGTATCACTTGTCCTAGTTAGCTTTAACTCAATTGACACCGCTCAGAATCACCTAAGATGTGGTCCCAAACTGATGGACTAGTCCTCTTATAGTGTAGATTGTCTAGACTGTGGGCGGTAACATTCTCTGGGCAAGGGCTGCTGGGTTAACAATGCATGACGACCAACCAGCTAGCAAGCAGCATCCTTTATGGTCTTATTCTCCAGCCCTTTGGGTACTTCTAAAAATGGACTTGAGGAAGTGATGCCTCCTTACTTTGAAATGACAGGTTTGACTTGGGCTACTGAAATGAAAGTTGGTCATGGTATACTTGAGAGTAGTTAAGACAAGGCTTTTCTGCATAGAACACTTGGTACATTATTCTCTGAAACTGTATGCATACTAAAAAAATGCCATGCAGACTTCACTCAGAAACACTTGAACTGAAGGCTGGAACAGACTTTACATAGAAGCCACTGTTTAGTGTCAAAGTAACCAAGTGTGTTCCAGGTACGCCTTAACTAAGAATGGCCAACAACCATGTCTTCTAGTCTACAGAGTTCTGTGATAGTCAAGAGCTGTGACAGAGAAACCCTGACTGGAAGAACTAAGAAAGGTGGGGGGGGGGGGGAGACAACAACCCATTCAATTTTACCACCTACATGAGAATGACTCACCTCGTATGTTAAAATTTTCTTCCAAGGTAAGGGTTTTCTTCCATTTTCAGATTCTAAGAATGGAAACACAGCTCCTTTGTCTTTAATTTGTTTCACATCTATTTGTGACCTCCTAGGGTTTCTAGTGTTTTTTATTCCAGGTGGTCTTTCCCTTGGTCTCAACTTTGGCTTGTATTTCCTCTTTTTCCGTTTCTTTTTCTTAAATCTTTCAAAAATGGCCTTTAATGTCAAAGGCCTTGGTTCTATAGAGGAGTCACTTGAAGAGTCAGTTTCAACGTTCCCAGGAGAAATGACACATTTTGCAGTAGGGTTTCTTTGCTTTTGTGTGGGTAAAGGAATGTACTGTGTTTTAAATAAGCTTTCAGATGAGTCATCACTAAAATAAACAAATAAATAAAATGCATTACTCATTTATCACTAGAAATTATCACTAGAAACAGTTCCCATTCATGAGTGGTGAGGCTGCTCAGGCAGTATTTACAACTCCAGCTTCAAGGAGCTCAGTGATTTCTCCTTTCTGGAAAACCAAGAATTCCTATGATACAGACCGTAGGTAAAAGTACACATAAGACAAACTGGATGGAAATGTTCAAAGTTTAAATGTACATTTTTTCAAAAGCCGCCCCCGCCATCATACCCAACATTTTAGAATGGACCAAGTACAGTTAGTCAGTCTGGCCATCATATTTAAAGTACCAGCTTGTTAAAATGTCCAATTTTATCTTTCAAGAGAAAAACTCCAACAAATCATCTGCTTAACCAGTAAAGCACTACCCTGGTTCTGACTACTACAATTTCGTCAGAAAAATAAAAATGCAGTTTTCCTATGATAAGAACATGTCCCATTTTTATGTCAGAGTTTTCTGTAGTACAATTAGCAGGGCATGTTAATACGCCTTTAATCCCAGCTCTTGGGGGCATAGGCATTGTTGTTTGAATCAGCCCACCAGTGGTCACCTACTGAGTCCTTGTCTCAAAATAAATTGAACTGTGCACTGAATCTAGTAGTTTACCCACCAATCTGCCTTACCTGTGGTTTCCAGTGTCGTCAGCTCTATCAGGTGTCATGCAGTCAACAGAGTTCCCTTCTGATTGAGCCATCACTTTCTCTCTGCCTTTCCCAGTTTTCTGCAATTACAAATTTCAGTGTTATGCACCTTCCCGAACATCCAAGAGTCTTCATTAAAGTTCAGCATACACTACCATGTAAATTCAGATAAAAATCGATCTGAGGATAGTCCACTTTAGATCACATTCAGTGGCTCACAACTCTTAAAACTCTAGCTACATGAGATGGTATGCTTTTTTTTGGCTTCCCGGATACCACCAGGAATCCAGGCATAAGAAACCACATTCCAATGCAGTCTGTTTTCTATCTCAATCTACCTAACAAGAGCACCTCAGTAACTTTACCACCAGCCAGACACAATAATTAATATAGTAGTACTAATTCCAATGAGTAACCATGGAAGGCTGAAACAAAATCATTACTGAGATTGTGGCTCAAAATTAAACTACTGGTCAAAACGCCCACAGGCCTGTAATCCCTACAGTCAGGAAAGAGCACACACGAACCTCTAGGGTGAGACTGGACAGATGGCTGAACATTAAGAGTACTGGGCTGCACTTTAGTGGACCCGAAATTAAATAAATTCCCAGCACCCACGTGGCTGCTTAAACAGAGAAACCCTGTCTCGAAAGACCACCAAGGGGGGGTGGAGTGCTGCAACCAGTTTTAGGGGATTCCATGACATCTAACCTGGGCACTGCACACACGTGGTGCACATAATAGGCAGGCAAAACACCCGCACATACAAAAAAAATAAAATTTCAACATTATTCTAGGCTACACAAATCCTAGAGCTAAACTAAGCAGAACCTTGATGGATAAAACCAGGTGACTAAGACTTTAGACATCAATTGTTTAAATTAATCCATCAAAACAACAATGTGGTCGGGCAGTGGTGGTGCACGCCTTTAATCCCAGCACTCGGGAGGCAAAGGAAGGTGGATCTCTGTGAGTTCGAGGCCAATCTGGTCTACAAGAGCTAGTTCTAGCAGGCTCCAAAACAGAGAAACCCTCTCTCCAAAAACAAACAAAAAAAAAAAAAGTACCACACTTAGGCCGTTTGTACCAACAATATATCTGTGTGTAAATTCTAAGGTAACTGCAAACTACACTGCAGCAACCTATCTAGAAATCAGTCACCCCTGTATGGTGCTTTCAAATTGTGAATCTCCAAGTTTAGAGGCCACGTGGTGAGTGTCAAGCTACTGGTGCGAATACACGCCGTGAGCAGACCGACGAGAACCTCTAAGCGCGTTAAGAGACGTAGGCAGGGTGCACACGGCACCTAGAGGACCTTCCTGGCCGGATTCTCCTCGGTACCTCCCGACAGCGACGGGGAGCGCGGCCTGCGAAGGCCTGGAGCAGGGCCCAAAGCCCCGAGCAGGGCCCGCCGCGCCTCGCCCGACCTCAGTGCCGACTCCGTGCAGACAATCGCCAAAGAACCCCGGCCTGCCTTACCCGTGGCCCCCACCGTTTGGTCGCACCAGACCGGGTTCCCCACGCAAACACAAGCGTCCTCCTCCTCCACCACGTCGAAAAGAGCGTTCCCGCCCGCTGCAGCTGGACTAGGACAGCCGAAACCTCGCGTGAACTCGTAGCGGCGGGTGGGTACCAGAGCGCGGCTACGCGGTGGGCGTGGCCATGTGGGTGGACTGTGGTGGGCGGGCCTCCGAGAGGGGCGGTACCGGCTCGCCCTCAGGCAGGCCCTGAGCTGGCAGAGGAGGGCGAGCAACAGGACAGGGAAGCTGTGCTCCTGAGTGGAAAGAAGGCATTCCTGCTAGCGTGAGGACACTGCGGGTCAGGTGAGCGTCCATTTGCTGTGGCGGCCGAGTTCCCCCTCAGACGCAGGGTGCCGGCTCTTCCGGGCACCCTACCCTCCAGGAGTTGGCTTGCAGCAGGCTAGGGCTGCTTCCCTCAGATCCTGAGCTGACTGAACAGTGTAAACCAAGGTTTCTCTTTAGCAATGAGCTGGTTTGAGTTATTTCCCATGCTGCATCTCTGTATTGTTTGACAAGCCAGCTAGCAGGGCTACCTGCCCTTAGTCAGCGGTTGTTATCATTTTGTGATTGGATACGCCTTAAAAGTCTACTTCTGATCAGCCAGTGCAATCGCTGTAAACTCCAAGACAGGCATCGCAAACTGTCACATTCAGAGCCCATGTGTTGCGAAAGGACCAGTGCAAACTCAAAATGTAGGGTCCTGTTCAAAACTAAAGAGACAAGTAGCTGGGCATGGTAGGAAATTCCAGAACTGGAGAGTCTGAGCAAGGAGGATTGCCAGGCCAGCCTAGACTACATGGTGAGACCCTGACTCAAAAAATGTTATTCCTCTAAATAAAGAAAAAAAATAGAATTATTAGCACAAGTTTTACCATCTTTCTTTATGTGTGTACTGCCAGTGCATAGGAACTTAATGAGCAGCAGGGCGGTGGTGGAGAACGCCTTTAATCCCAGCACTCAGGAGGCAGACTCTATCTAGGCCAAGCAATTCTACAGAGTAAGTTCCATGGTACCAGGGCAAGCTACACAGAGAGACCCTGTCTTGGAAAACCGAAATAGAAAAAAAGAAAAGAACTTAATGAGCAGAATTGTTGGAACGTTCACCAGAGAAAAGCCTGTATTAGCCGACTGGCAGCTATACTGGGTGTTCAGGATCCCAGTGTAACCCTGAGCCAGGGTGAGCTTTTAAGCAAAAAAAAAAAAAAAAAAAATCATGTCCTGGTTGGCATACTTAGGTAACATAAACAGCCAAGCAGAACTACGGAAGCTAAAGAGCACATTTAGAAACCGTCCCAGAACTCTGGACTTTGATCCACAGTTTTGATGGATTGGGCCTTTGGTTTAGTCTTGGCAGGAGGTGCTGTCTGTGTGCTGAGTGTCACAGCCTGAATGGCACTTCCATCATGGAGTCAGCTGTGCTCGGGTCTTAGGGCCTACTAAGGTCAAAGGACCCTGGTAAAGAATCACTGAAGTTTGAGGGGTTAGAGAGATGGCTCAGTGGTTACGAACACTGGTTGCTCTTCCAGAGGACCCTGGTTCGATTCTCAGAAGCCATGTGGCAGCTCACCACCATCTGTAACTCAGTTCTAGTGAATCCGATGCCCACTTTTAGCCTCTGCAGGTACCAGGTATGTACATGGTGTGCAGATGTACATGCAGACAAAATATCCATATTCATAAAGATAAAAAGAATCACTGCAGTTTGGATTTCTGCTTCATAACTTGTACCAGTTCTGTATTGTGACCGTAGCTGTGGAACGATTTACCAGACTAACTTACTTGCCTTCCTTTTACTTCCTAATCCCTACACATTTTGCCTGTAGTCTGCAATTTGTAACACTGACTATCTGTGGATTCCCAACCATGGCAATCTACCAGGATTAAGTTCTAATGGGACGTTAAAAACACCTTATTAGGCCAGGTGGCAGTGGTGGTAGCACACACCTTTATTCCTAGCTCTCTAGAGGCAGAGTCAGGCCAGCCTCTGAGTTCGAGGCCAGCCTGATGCACAGAACAAATTCCAGGACAGCAAGGGTTACACAGAGAAACACTGTCTTAAAAAACAAAACAAAACAAAACCCCTACCTTATCCAGTGGGTGACCAGGTGTGGAGAGCATACCTTGGGCCTGCTCATGCTTCACTAGCCTATGAGTTTTCAAACACAGTTCAAATGTTAAGTTGTTGGCCTAGAGATATAGCTCAGTTATAGGGAGCTTGCCTAGCATGCATGGTCCTGAGTTCAATCCCCGGCACCATCAAAAAGAAACAAACAAAACAAAGAAATCAAAACAAGACAGAAAACACAAGCCCCCTGTATGTGTAGTGTTTGATACACATAGATCTATACGAATACCGGGTCCTGGGTGACTGACTATACAGTTTGCACAGCTGGGAAGCCAGACACGTGCTTGAATCTTGCCAGTCTGGTATATCATAAATGCTTACTGATGAACTAATAGAGCACCCATTGTGTACAAGATACTTGGAAGAGAGTGGAAATCAGTCTGGGAGGAAGATGAAGCGCGTGACCAGTTCTGGTGGGTGCTGCAGGGTCACTGTGAACACATACTTCCTTTTGTCAGATGAAGGGACCACTTCTTCGCTGCTGATTCAGCTTGGGATAGGAGTACACACTGGATTCACGGGGCTGCTTTTGAGTTCATTGTTGCTGTTGTTTGACACAGGCCTCTCTATGTAGCCCTGACTGTCCTTTGCATATTTGTGTCTGTTTACTGTGACGTGCTCTTGCTGTGCATTCTGGGAAATATAAAATTATATTGGTTAGGTTATTTGTAAATTAAAGTAAAAATTTGACTTTCAGAATCTAATCATTCTATAGGTTTCCATTTCAATTGGTAACTAAAATTGTCTCTTATTAAAATGATAGATAAAGGAATAAATAATTCAAATGTAAAAAGAAATGAAATTTGACAGCATATCCTATAACATAATTTTGTGGCTTCAAGGGAAAAATAAATGAACTCCTGTTGGTTGATACTGAGATCTACTTTAGAATAAAATTTGTTCTCCATTTAGAAATACTAATAAGCATAGTCAGACCAGCAAGCTGGCGGGTGGGTAAAGGAACTTACCTTCAGGACTGACTGTCTGACTTCAGTCCCCAGCATCCATGTGTTGGAGAGGGAACCAACTCCTGTAAGTTGTCCTGTGATCTCCACAGGTGTACTGTGGTGTGCATGCACACACATGCACACACACACACACACACACACAAATAAACAAATGTAATGTTAAAAGCAACTTCAGTCTAAGATAACTAACTTTTAGTTTAAATGTCCATTAAAGAGAGTAGGAAACATGATCTATCATGTGTTCTATACAGATATAACAGTGTAGACTCCTGTAAAATGTACATACATACACACATGCACACATATAGTAAACCATTTGTTTGTAATCCTTATACATATCTTTAGTTTCAAGGCCATATTCTTAGACCCTCCAGTAGAAAAGCCCAGGTTTGAGCTGAGTATAGCACTCGGTGGGAGAGCGCTTTCCTGGCATACCTGAGGCCCTGCTTCCATCTCAGTACTGAACGCAGAAATGAAAGAGAACAGATTCAAGTAGTGATTGGGTTGGGATATAGCACTTAGCTGAGACTCTGGGTTCTACACAAAACACGGCCAGGAAAGAAGAAGGGAAAGGGAGGGAGGGAGGGGGGGAGGAAGGGAGTGGGGAGGGAGGGAGGGAAGAAAATAGAAAAACAGACTAAAAGGAAGAAGAGGGAAAGGACGGTAGAAAAGAGGCCCCTGCTCCTGCTCACATGGAGTGGACACGACGATGTTTGGGGCTCTGAGGGAAGCTTGGGGCACTTTGCCCTCCTTATGTAAGTGAACTCTGAGGATCTGGAACCTCGGTGGCCTTTGCCTTCATCTGGTAATTGAACTCTACTACTCATTTCCAGAACCCCGGGACTCGTCCTGCTGTGCCCTGCGCTCTCTCGCTCTCTCGTGATAGTTACCAATAGCTGCTGTGCCTGAGCCACCTTGCTGAGAAGAAAGGAAATGGCTTGTATTGAGTTTGCTTTTCATGTGCCAACTCTGGAGGAGCTTGCTGAAGGTAAAAATGATGTTAACCTTGGGATTTTAAGGACTGTTCCAGGAGACAAAACCAAAAGATCCCTGAGATACATATGTAGCGAATTACCTATCTGTATCTTAGTAGAATGGTACTTTTGATACAGAAATTTTCATTTTAGTATCTGTTCAGTATTCATTTTTTTAAAAATTCAAAATTCTGTCTCAAAAAATAAAAGAAACTTTTGTAAGTTTTTATGCTGTGTTATTTGTAAGCATTTATACTTTCTAGCACATCTTGATCTTAAAATAGAAGTTGTTTAATTTCAAGATCCTTAGCAGCACATGAAACTGCACATAGGGGCTGGAGAGATGACTCAGAGGGTAAGAGCACTGGTTGCCCTTCCAGAGGTCCTGAGTTCAATTCCCAGCAACTACAGCTAGGCCTGGTGCCTTCCATGCCAGTAGTACATTGTATGCTTAATAAATAAATAAATCTTTAAAAAAAAACTGCACATAGTACCTTAAAGGCCAGTCCTCTCTGCATACTGACATGTATGCATAGAGTTTTAAATATTTTGAAAGATAATTATACACAAATTTAAAATTAATTTTGTTCCCAACCCTAGTGCTAGTTCCTTCTCTGCTTTTTCTCCTATAATTAATCATCATATCACATTTATAACGATCCTGTGGCTATCTACTTTGTGCAATGAAAATTAGCAGAGGGACCGGGCGGTGGTTGCACATGCCTTTAATCCCAGGACCTGGGAGGCAGAGGCAGGCAGATCTCTGTGAGTTCGAGGCCAGCCTGGTCTACAAGAGCTAGCTCCAGGACAGGCTCCAAAGCTACAGAGAAACCCTGTCTGGAAAAAACAAAAAAAAAAAAAAGCAGAGAGCAGTGCAATGCTAACATATTCTTTAAATATATCGTCTGCTAGGGTGGGGAGATGGGTCAGTAGTTAAGAGCACTGACTAAACTCAGGAGACCAGAGTTCTGTTCCTCGAACTCACGTGGCTCACAATTGTCTGTAATCGTTAGTTCTATGGGATTC